GTGTACCCAATTGTATTTTAAGCCTGTTTCCTGTCCAGTGTCACTGTACCTCTACCTGTCTTCTAGAGAATTCTGTTTGTTTGCATGGCTGTTTTTATGTGTTTTTGTGTATTTGTCCCCAGTATCTGTGTGTCTCTATGCACACCTGTCAAATTGAATTTTACCCCCTGTTTAGTGATCCCAGCACCTCGGCGCTGCAAGAGATTCTTATTTGTTTATTGGCCAATTGTTCCCAATAGCAGCAGATCCTTGAACACTGTGCCTCGGCTCTTCCAAGAGCCCTTCACCTTGTGATACATTCGGGTATGCTGTAGTCTCCTCTGATAGTACCCATAGGTGCCCTTCCTGTCCTAGACTCCTAGTGTACCTCAATTAATATTACACTATGGATCTGAGAGTACTCAGAACCAAATTGGGAGGTCTGCTACATGTTGGTGAAGGGGTCAGGAAATCCAACTTGCTCTGTCCAGTACCCAGGTACAATCAGAGGTGTCCCAGGACCTCGGAGGAATGATTGTTTTTTTTTTTCTCAGTGGGATAATTTCCACTTTGAAAAGACACAGGTAGGGTAGTATCCAAGTTTGCTATGAGTCATAAGGATTGGTGGATGGCTCAGGTCCTTGGCTATCAATGCCTGACTTGCACTGTCTCATCCCTGTGTCCAGCTGCAGGGACTGAACAATGTGCATATACCGCAGTCAATTTGGGTACTATCCTATCGGACTTTACTGTGTTATACCCCCGAGTCCATCATGTTTTGATGGTTTATGAGTCCGGACATCCTCAGATGATTGATACTGATGGGTGCTGGAGAAAGGAGGGTGCTATGTTAGGCTTGGGGCTTTACAGGAGACAGCAATGCTGGCACAAAGAATAGCAGAGACACAGGGATATACCCCTATTACCTCAGGGAAAAGGCTTGGTCTCAAACCTGACACCCCCATACACCTACAGAAACTTCCTTTGGAATCTGAAGAAGAGTTAAAAAGTTTGGTTTTGGGCAACCGGTTTTAGATAGCGCCAACAGTTTGTGCAGAGCGTTCAACAGGAGGGCCCAGCTCAAGGGGCTTATAATCTAAAGGGAGGGGGTGGTACAAAAAGTAATAGCTATGAGAGAATGGTCTGATGGAGCTGGCTGAGGTATAGTTTTTTAGGTGGAGGCAGATGAAGTTTCCATAAATAAATTAATTTTCTGGGATCACCTAGTGGTGAACAGGGTAGGAGTTGGCTGGACATACTGGGGAGGGGAGTTCCAGAGGTTCTGGAGCAGTCCTGATGATGAGCATGGGAGGAGGTAACAGGGGAGCTGGAGATCAGGATGTCTTAGGAGGAGTGGAGTGGTCAATTTAGGTGTTACCTTTGGATCAAAGTCGATTAATCCAAGTAACACACACATTAGAGAGATGCTAAGGTATGCTGATGAGTTTCTTCAGGTACAGTCCTAAAGCCACAGCTTTCTTAAACATCTTACTCCACCCTCTTCACCTGATTTGTGTAACTCTGTTGCTCTTCCTGATGCAATTAATAATGTGCATCACTATCAGGAAAATGATCACCAAACTTATAAGAAGGTGTACCTCAATGAGGTATCTCCTATTGAGAAACCGAGAGGCCATTAACTGCTCTCTAAAGAACCTGATCCGATACACACAAAAGAAATTTGCACATTCAAGAGAGGACCCTAAAACAACATAAAGGAAAAGGAAACTCTTGATGTTCTTTGTTTCTTTTTTCCCCTTTTTTATTGTTTTTTTTTGGTTTGGTTTGTTTTTAGGGAGAAGCCTCTAAATTGGAGCAATAAAATGCAGTCAGGTTTATCTAAATTCTAAAAGTTTTTTTCAATCAAATTTTTTTTACTCTCCCCGTTTTTGTGTACCTGACCTGCAAATATACTGTTGATTATAGTATGGGCGGAGGACTTGTCTATTGTCTAGTAACTGCTGCAATTTTTGCAATGTTTTTGTGTTTTAATGCAGTTTTCCCAGGCGACTATATATATATACAGTATATATATAATTTTTTTTTCACCTTTTCTCATTTTTAATTTTTTTGTATGAATACAGATTCATTGCTCTTCACCATCCTAAAGTAAAAGTCGTAGTTGGAGGAGCATTAAATCTGTACCCTTTTTATTTTTATATTGTTTTGTTTATGCTTTTGCTTTTATTACTTTTTCCTCTCTCTCTTTTTCCTTGTTTCATGTAATTTTTTTAGCCTGAATTATAAGGCTGTGGCATTTGTGCCCGATTCAGTTTCAAGAGTCCGATGGGGATCCACAGGCTTAGAATTGCTTCCTGCAGACATCCCTCAATCTGTTTATAGTTTCCACCCCGAGCTCTGTGAGTGGGTGGGGAGAACCCAGGAACTGAGACCTGACAATAGCATGCAGCATCGGCCATCCCCACCTTCAGGGGCTCTGGTAAATACCGGCTGTTGCTCAGACTCTGCATCCTGTGGGGATCCCACTTTACTTGCCCACATTAGGACCCCCTATGCTTAACAACCTTAAAGGCCAAACAGCTGCTTCATGCTTGATTTCCCCCCCAATAACATTCTCCTTCTCTTTTTTTGTATCCATGTATGATTGTCTGGAGGCCTGCCCTACCACCACCTGAAGAAACAACAACCACCACGTCATCTCTTGAGACAAGGGTGCAAAAGCTAGACCTTCCTCAACCATCTTTCACCATGCTGAATAGTGCCATTTTGCGGTCTGATCCAATCTTTGCAAACATTGCACAGTGTTCCCAAGATACGGGACTAAAGATACCAGGATCCCGCCATCGATGTTGGAGTTCCATCCTTCCAAGGCAGAGGGGTGAGGAAACATCGCAGCACAGGCATTCATGGTGCGAATGTGAGGTCTCGGAGGCACCAGGACTTCTTTGTTTACTAGGAGTTCCTTCGTGATCAAGAAAGAAGAGGAGGCCGCAGTGGTGGTGGGGGGGTTGGGCCTTCTGGGTGTCATGGGTGGGTACAAAATCATTGAGGGAGGGCATAAGTTCTCCAATGAACTTGAGGGGGAAATGTAATGGCAATTTTGGGCCTACATCTTCATGAAGGTTATTGACTGTTGGGGGATTACACTACAAAAGACTCAATGGAGCTGAGGGGGATGGAAGGCAACTTGAATTTCCTGTTCTTTCATTTATTTAAACTAACCATTGCTCTGAAGCCCACCCATTTGAGGTGTGATTTACTTGGGTGGGTGGGTTTAGGGATGGTCTTTTGTAAAGTGCATAAAACAACTTGGACAAAATAAGCCCTGCCCTTTTCGTGCCATGTGCCTTCCAGAGCACAGACCTCAGAACATCAGGATGCTGTAATGTATCACCATTGCTCTGTCTTTTTCTTGTAACTATCTCTTTCTTGTAGTCTTTGTATTGGTAACATTCTGTATTATATTTTTTGTTGTGTTTGATTGATAGAAAGCTTCCTTGCTGTGTAAATAAATCAGATCATTATTTTTTGCACAAGTGGTTATCTTTTAATATTAACACTATTGGCTAAATTCAGGTATAGACAAAGGGTTATAATCACTTATTACGTTTATAATCTGTATAGAATCAAGTAAATAAGTGTGGGTAGGAAAACCGCCAAAACAGGTGGCACTTCTGGGCACAGGTGTGTGACATTGCAGAGTGGCACAGGTGGGTGCACTGCTGGGCACAGGTGGGTGCACTGCTGGGCACAGTTGGGTGATCTGCTGGGCACAGGTGGGCGGAGCTAGTGGGCGCACTGCTGGGCACAGGTGGGCGGAACTTGCGGGTGGCACTGCTGGGCACCGATCATCAGTGCCCTGATGATCGGTGCCGATTCCCCGCTCTGACAACTGCCGGTTCTCGGCAGTACTTTCCTCACGATCTGACAGCGTGAGGAAAGTGCAGCCGAGAACCGGCACTTGCATTTCCCTCTGATCAGCGTGTCATTGGACACCCCTGATCAGGTGGTAAAAGGCCGCTGTGATTGGCCTTTTACCACATCACGTGATCAGCTGTGTCCGTAGGAGATCGGCGCGCAGGAGAGCGTGTTCTGGGGGGACGTCATATGACGTCCACTCAGAACTGGCCGGCCGCAGTGCAGCCGTCATTCGGCTATCTGCGGTCGGCAACAAGTTAAAATAAAAAAAAAGGTAAAAGCTGTGTAAATTCCATTATCTATTCTATACCATAGTTTGTGGATGCTATAACTTTCACACAAAGCAATCAATATACACTTAGGACTGTTTTTACCAAAGACATGTAGCAGAATGCATTTTGGCCTAAATTTATGAATTTGAGTTTACTATATTCTTTTTCTATAGCCGAACGTAAAAAAATAGTTTGTGTTTTTTTTCAAAATTTTCGGTCTTTTTTATTTATAGCGCACAAAAATAAAAAGCGCAGGTGATCAAATACCACCGAAAGAAAGCTCTATTTGTGTGAAAAAAAAGACATAAATTTTGTTTGGGTACAGCATTGCATGACCGTGCAATTACCAGTTGAAATAGCGCAGCGCCGAATAGCAAAAAAGGCCTGGTCAGGAAAGGGGGTAAATCCCCTGGAGGGCAAGTGGTTAATGGCATCCCAGTCAACGTAGGGTTGAATATGGAGTTGGCCCACCCTTTGCAGCTACAACAGCTTCAACTCTTCCGGGAAGACTGTCTACAGGTTGAGGAGTGTGTCTATGGGAATATTTGACCATTCTTCCAATAGCGCATTTGTGAGGTCAGGCACTGATGTCAGACACGAAGGGCTGGCTCGCAGTCTCCGCTCTAATTCACCTCAAAGGTATTCTATCACGATGAGGCCAGGACTCTGTGCAGGCCTGTCAAGTTCCTCCACCCCAAACTCGCTCACCCATGTCTTGATGGACCTTGCTTTGTGATCTGCTGTGCAGTCATGTTGGAACAGGAAACTGTCCAAAATGTCTTGGTATGCCAACGCCTTAAGAGTTACCTTTACTGGAACTAAGAGGCCAAGCCCTGGAAAACGACCCCACACCATATGCCCCCTTCCTCCAAACTTTACATTTGGCACAAGGTAGTCAGGCAAGTACCGTTCTCCTGGCAATCGCCAATCCCAGACACATCCATCAGATTGGCAGACAGAGAAGCACGATTCGTCAGTCCAGAGAAAACATCTCAACTGGCCCAGTGGCGACATGCTTTACACCACTGTATCCGACACTTGATTGCAGTTGCTCGGCCATGGAAACCCATTCCATGAAGCTCTCTACGCACTGTTGTGCTAACCTGAAGACCACATGAGGTTTGGACATCTTTAGCCATTGACTCTGGAGACAGTTGACAACTTGCGCACTGTTTGCTTCAGCATGTGTTGACTCCGCTCTGTCATTTTATGTGGCCTACCACTTCGTAGCTGAGTTGCTGTTGTTCCCAGTTGCTTCCACTTTGTTATAATACCACTAACAGTTGATCGTGGAATATTTAGTAGCAAGGAAATTTCACAGATGGACTTATTGCATAGGTGGCAACCTATCATGGTTACCACACTTGAATTCACTGAGCTCCTGAGAGCGACCCATTATTTCACAAATGTTTGAAGAAGCAGTCTGCATGCCTAGGTGCTTGAATTTATACACCTGTGGCCATGGAGGTGCTTGAAACACCTTAATCCAATGATTTGGAGGGGCGTCTCAATACTTTTGGAAATATAGTGTATGTTAGATATTGTGAGATTTTACCTGGAGGGTCAAAAGTAAGGTTTTTTTTGGTTCTAATTAAGATGACCACATATGGTGTACCACTGTGTATGTGTGTATCAAAATTCTCAGTGGTTGCTCTTAATTTACATAACATCTCTTATTTCTTTAATTTAGGTAAGAACATCTAAAACTGAAGAAAAAACTCTCTGTTATGTCTACCAATCATTTCTCCTGCTTCAAGCTTCATAATTCATTATGCACTTCAAGGAGGTAGATACAATGTTGTTTGTGGAGTGCATGATCGGAATTGTGGTGCTTATACAAATGAAGGAGTTTTGTGTCATTTGGGTTCTTGGCTGTGTAGGTCCATCCCTGCCCAACACCCCATTAAGGTGAGATGTGTTACACATGCTTCCTCCACCCTGGTAGGGGTCATACTCCTACAAAATCATATCCAATTACTTCTGAAATCCATAGGAATTGCACTTGCCAAAAATTCCACATTGGCTATCATGCATAATATGTAACCAAGTACAACATCAGTAAGTAATAAACCCATGGCACAGAGCTCAATTTGATTGTTACACACACAAATAAATAAATATATATATATATATATATATATACATACACACACACACACTGTACACATGCAGTTGTGAGTAACCCCTTCATGGAGGTTAATCCTTGCAAAGATGGTACTGTATACCATAAAACAATGAGGTGAATAAATATTTGTCAAAATTCAAGCATAGCCATACATCCATATATACTGGCAGTTCACTTGGTAATACCGCCTCTCATTGGTCAAATATATTCATAAAATGTAGTGGCTCACAGCATTGTAAATTATACTGTAGGCATCAACCAAAAACCTGTACTGTCTTACACAGTTATGGCAGATTTTGCACATTATAAATGCTCCTCCAATACTCACTGATAGTCTGTGTCACAGGTACACAAATGGGGAAGCACTACTATAAACCATATAGTACAAGAACTGTCTCACCAGGATGAATGTGTTCTGAGAGACAGTGGGGGTGCTGCTTAGGACCATATTGCGCAAAGAGCAAAAATTTAAATGGCGAGAAAAAAAAAAAAAAAAAAGCATTTCATATGGAGACTAGGCTGTGCTCTTGCTACCTATGCATCTTTGATACATCTCACCATAATGGGGTGTTGGGCAGGGATGGACCTACAGCCAAGAACCCAAATGACACAAAGCTCCTTCATTTCTATAAGCACCACAATTCCGATCATGCACTCCACAAACAACATTGTATCAACCTCCTTGAAGCGCATGCTAGACTTGAACCTGGAAGTGACCACGTCTACCATCCACCTGGAGCCCAAATCAGGTCACAGACCAGATATTACAAAGGCTGCCGCATGGTACAGCTGAATTCCACACGGATGGACCAAGTAAAAAAAAAATTACATACAATATTTACAACACATATATATTGTTAACCTAATTATACAGAACAATGTAATCAAACATATATTAATAAATTATAGAAAGCTGTGGATCACTTTAAACGGATAACTTCACTTTTTTTAAATTTAAGCTCCTTTATGTACTAATATAGCATTAAGGCACTGATTTTTTTTTTCAACCTTACTATTTTAGGTGTCCGTTTATGACACAGAGAAAAGCTGCGATTCAGAGGATCGCAGCTATTCTCTGGTCATTCACAGTTTATAACACTCAGGAGATCAGTGGAGAACTGTTCAGCTCTTCACTGGAGATCTGTGTTCTCCCTCCAGATTCTCCAGCCCAGAGCTGGAGAATCGGGAGTGACCGCAAACTAAGCAGCAATAATTTACCTCTGCTTAGTAAACTGATCTTTTACTATAATCTCACGAGATTATAGTAAAATCAGCCATTTTCCACCGTTTGTAGACCGTTCTCCAGCGTTTGGAGACTGTTCTCCCTTCGTTCGGAGAACTGCTTCATAAAAGGCATTCACAGGAGAACTGTGTTCTCCGAGAATGCCGGAGAACTGAGCATCGATCATTTATCGCTGGTACATAAATGGACACCTTAATCTTGCATTGATAGTTCATTTGGCAGGAGTGTGCAGGAGCTGAGCAGTCAAACAACAGCCTATGTGAATCAGAGATGTTGTACTGAAAAAAAGAGCAGTGTGTCCTGGCATCAGTAAAGTTCACCATATACAATACAATCTGATTGTACAATCTCCTTTAGATCTACCATCAACTATGTAGTGCAAGGACCTGCCTGAATGGATACAGAGTGATCGGATAGATGGTGTGTCCTCCTATTATATCGTTTTGGTAAATCTAAAGGAGATTGTCCAAAGATTTTACAATCAGATTATATAGTGTGTGACCACCTTAATACACTTAAAATGAACTAGTTGCGCTTTTGGTGCCATTAATTGTTAACAGCACAACAAACACATAAGAAAACACACATTTTGCAACGTGAAAAAATTAGCAACAAATGCAGCAAAATTGCACAGCAAAAAACGTGTAACCCGCATCATGCCAAAATGTCCACATATAGAACAGCCCACTTAAATCTGCCCTATGCGTGTCATGACACGCTGCCCTATGCGTGTCAAGGGAAAAACCGAGCCAAAAAAACACGTTCTCCCACTATACTAGGTGTGAATTGGGCAACAAAAAAGCATGGTAAAAAAATGCACCACAATCCGCTCTAAAAAGTTCCGGAGCTTTTTTGGGGCAATTGTTGTGCATAGGGCAGACCATTCAAGTGAATGCGCTGCCCTATGTGTGACGAGCAAAAAAATAAGCCAAAAAAATGCATGTGGGAATGCGAGTTCCTGCTACACAGAGATGTGAATGGGGCCTTACAGCTGAGTGTCTCTATTTACTTCCTCCTCTGTACTTGTATAAAGCAGGACATACAATTTGCAATCTGATTGTAAAATTTCCTTTGCCAGAACTATGGAACAGGAGGACCTACCTGAAAAAATCTATTCAATTTGTATCAAATCAGACAGGCCCTTGCACTACAAAGCAGATGTAGATCTAAAGGACATATTATAATCAGATTGTACAAAAAATGGGTAGAAGGTGGTATAGTAATGAGGGATGAGTGGTCTATAGTGGTGAACATGTCCTAACACGACCTTTTCTGTGATGCAGCAAGGCAGTGCATTCTGGAATTCAAAGATTTCCGGATGTCACATGATCTACAGGAAGTGATGGAAGCAAAAATATTTTTAAACACATGAAATTTCAAAGCTTCCATGGACAAAATAAGTAAAAGATAAGCACACTGGGATGGCTTGGCCAGAAAAATTACAAAACACTTCTATTTATTATGAAAAGTGAAATTCTGCCTGAGAATGTGAATTTAACCTTTTCGCTGCCAGGTCCATGCGGTGTACGGACCTACAGCACTGCCTTCAGCTGGCCAGGTCCGTACGCTATATGGACCTACATTCCTCTTTCTGTTATAAGCTCATGGTCACTTCAGTCCATGAACCTATAGCAGAAATGTTCAGCAGACTCTGTTGAACAAAACAATAGCTTTGATTAGCAGATAACAAGCCGCTGATCAGAGCGATTCACCAAAATGGCCTCCAACCACCCCCTGATGCCTCTCTACCTCTCACCTGCATCTTCCTCCCCTCCACCCTATGGATCCAATGCAACTGTTGGCTTCCCTCCGCTGCCTCTCCTGTACTACCACAGGCAATTGCAGTGCTAAACTATTCAAATATCCCCCCGACACGGAGAATCCCCTTTACTGTCCTCCCTCCCCTCACCGATCACCGGTGCACCCCCCTCCCCCCATACAGCTCTTCTAGCTGGCTTTCCCTCCACCGGTTCCAGGAGCGGGGGGGGGGGGGGGCGATTTTATTGTTTTTTTGTGAAAGTCAGTAGCACCTTTTTATTCTACTGGTCATGTGCTTTCAGAAAATATATGGTTTGGGGGGGCTTTTACAAACGTGAAAAATAAAAACCTCCAGATCTTTCGAGAAATTTGATAACTTAGAATTTTACATACATTGATTTTCACCATTTTGCAAAAAAAGGTGCAAATTAAAATGTGCAAATATTTGTTATTTATTAACTCAATAAAGGTTAAACTTTTACACTTAGTTGGAATTTCGCAAAATTTGCTGTGTTTGTATCTACTAATAATGATTTTAGTGTATTTTTAACGAAAATATCATTTTGAAAAACATTTGCACATATATATTTTGGAGACTTAAAAATCAGTAGCACCTCTTTTATATTCTACTGAGCAAGTGCTTTCAGAAAATATATGGTTTGGCGGGGTCTTTTACAAACTCTAAAAGCTGTAAGAGTAAAGTGAAAACGTCCTGATTTTTAGAGAAATTTGGTAATTTACAGTTTTGTTTACGTTCGTTTTTCACCATTTCACAAAAAAGAGCACAATTTAAAATTTACAAATATTTGTGATTTATTAATTCAATACAGGGTAAGCTTTTATATTTAGCTGGAATTCATCAGGAATTATGTAAAATGGGCTGTGTTTTTATCTGCTAACAATGATTTTTACAAAAAGATGATGGAACCTTAAAATTCAGTAGCACCTTACTCTTATTCTACTGGTCATGTGCTTTCAGAAAATGAAGTATATGTTGACCTCTATAATAAGCCCAACATCCCCCACAACTTGGCCCGTTTATCTCCTTGACGGTTTGTTGTGTCATGTGGAATATAGTGTTGAGCTATATATATATTGAGCCTTCTAAAAATATATATATATATATATATATATATATATATATATATATATATATATATACACACACACATACACACACACATATACATATATACACATACACAGTGGGGAAAATAATTATATGATCCCCTGCAGATTTAATAAGGCTGCCCACTTACAAAAAATGAAGGGTCTATCATTTTTATCATAGGTGTATTTAAATGATAGAGACAGAAT